CCACTGAATGCCGTATCTTCTGAGCAATGCGTCGGTTGCCAAACACTCTGTCTGCGAAGCAGGCCTGCTGATGAAGATTTCTGCTGACAGACTGATTGCAAAATTGATACATGGGCATCCTGCCTCAAGAACGTCCCCTGTCACGATACCAACCATGCAAGGTTCTTCGCAATGTGCAGAACCACCAATTGCATCATTGATTTCCTCATCAGCCAGCCTGCGCAGGAAAACACTGCAGTCACACTGTGCGTCAAGCCTGCTGACCTGGATGGCCTGAACGGTTGCTCACCGAACATGCTGCCGGGTCCGATTTCGATAAAATCACCGAAACCATTCGGGTCGCGATACAGGTTGATCTTGCCTCAGGGTTCATGGCCAGACTGGCCGGTCAACAGTGCAGCACAAGAGGTCGTCCGCAGTCTGCTTGCGACGAGCACTGAGGAAATTCGTTCAAGTCCGGAGACCGTTCGTTCGCTGCTCCGGACATGTCCCTGCAACCTTCGAAAGGAGGTCTTCAAGCCCAGCCACCGGTGAGCAAGAGGAAAGATCGTTGTGACTCAATGGGAGGCCACTCGGCTTTCAGGTTTTCGCTGCCGTACAGCCAACGCCCCACCGACAGCCTGCGCGAACTGTCGGGGAAATCATCAGAGCAAACTCGCCGACAAGATGCAGGATCTGCCTAAGGAACGCCATGGCTCGCAGAAACCTGGCCGGCAGCTTTGGGTTTACGACACTGCCCAGGCCCCGCCCTGAAAGTAATCCCAAGCTCGGCAGCGACATCCACGGACAGTTTGCAAAGGAGTCGAATGCAGTCATCAGCAGCTTTGGCTGTGGCATGCTCTACTTGTCTGTGTTGACCTGGCCTGTCCAACTGATGGTCATCCAACCGCTGGAAAAGAAGCGGATGTGAATTCCGAATCTCCTTCCCGACCACCTTTGCTGCCACAGAAGCAATGCTATTGTACCGGCACATTCACGAAGCAGCTAAGCCAGACAACCTTCTCCAGAGCCCTCATATCCGACGCTAGCTTCTGCGGTATACGCCGTCCGCCTCGGCAGTTTCCCTCCCTGTCTCTGGACTCCCGAATGGCCACGGAGTCAACATGGGCTCCCTGCGCTTCTCGGTGGTGAGGGCTAGTTGACGGCACCTGCCGCAACCCAACGGGCAGTAATACGAAGAGGATCATCCGAACGAAACCTGGGGAGTGCAGATCTCCTGTAACAAATCTTGGGGGGTGGGAGTCGGATCCTGGGCAGTGCCGCCTCGGCTCACAGGTCTGGGGTCGACGGTTTAAGGCTCGGCTCAGCTTTTAGGGTTTATAATCCACAAGTCCACAAGACTTAAAGCTTCAAGTTTAGCAAGCGCTGTAAACAGCAGAAGGACCAAGCCACACAGTAAGCGCGTAAACAGAATAGGACTCAAGCCACGCAGCAAGCACTGTCAACAGCACACGTGCCAGTTTGGATAAGGGCCAAGCCACACTGCAAGTCGACAGAGCTGTCAGGGGACAAGCCAAACAGCAACCGCTGTACATAAGATAAAAACAACACCCCACAGCAAGCGCTTTACATAAGATGGCGGCAACATCACACAGCAAACGCTGCAAACAGGCTAGGGGCAATGCGACACAGCAACGGCTGTACATAACGTAGAAGCGAAACCGCACAGCAAGCGTGGTAAACACGATAGGGGTAATACCCCACAGCAACCGCTGTACATAAGAAAGAAGCAAGACTACACAGCAAGCGCTGTGAACGGTACAGGGGGCAGAGCCACACAGCAAATGCTGCATAGAAAATAGAAGCAACACCACACAGAAAGCCCTGCAAACAGGATAGGAGCAATGCCAGTGTGTTGCTTGCAGCTGTTATACAGCGGTTGCTGTGTGGCATTTTCCCCAATTCTGTTTACAGCGCTTGCGCTGCGTGTGGAGTTGCTTCTATCTTATGTACAGCGGGTGCTTCGTGGCGTTGCCCCTATCCTGTTTGCAGCGCTCGCCGTGTGGTTTTGCTTCTATCTTATGTACTGCGGTTGCTGTGTAGCAGTCCCCTCATCCTGTGTACAGCGCTTGCTCTGTGGCATTGCCCATATCCTGTTTACAGCGCTTGCTGCGTGTGGTTATATGTTTCTATCTTATGTACAGCGGTTGTTGTGTGTCATTGCTCTTATCCTTTTTGCGGCGCTTGCCGTGTAGTTTCGCTTCTAGCTTACGTACAGCGGATTCTTTGTGGCATTGCCACCATCCTGTTTACAGCGCTTGCTGTGTGGCATGGCCCTTATGTTGCCTACGGCGCTTGCAGTGTGGCATTGCCCCTATCCTGCTTGCAGCGCTTGCTGTGCGGACTTGGCTCTATCTTATGTACAGCGGTTGCTCTTTGGCATCGCCCCTGTCTTGTTTACAACGCTTGCTGTGTGGTGTTGCTTTTACCTTATGTACAGCGCTTGCAAAGTGGCATTGCCCGTATCTTTTTTACAGGGCTTGTTGTGTGGTTTTCCCTCAATCCTGTCTACAGCACGCCTGCACATAAGATGAAAGCAGCACCACACAGCAAGCGCTGTAAACAGGATAGGGGCAATGCCACACAGCAACCGGCAACCGCTGAACATAAGATAGAAGCAAAACCACACAACAACCGCGGTACATAAGATAGAAGCAAAACCACACAGCAAGCGCTGTAAACAGCATTGAGGGAAAACCACACAGCAAGCGCTGCAAACGGGATAAGGGCAAAGCGACAGCGCCACCGCTGTACATAAGATGGAAGCAAGACCACGCCGCAAGCGCTGTAAACAGGATAGGGGAAATGCCACACAAAAAGCGTACACAAGATCAAAGCAAGACCACACAAGCGCCGCACATAAGATAGGATAGAAGCAAGACCGCCCAGCAAGCGCTGCTCGCCAGATAGATTCAAAACCACACATGAACCGCTGCACATAAGATAGGATAGAAGCAAGACCCCACAGCACACGCTGAAAAACAGGATAGAGGCAATGCCAACCGCTGTACATAAGTTAGACTCGAAGCAAAACCACACATCCAGCGCTGCCAACAGGATAGGGGCAATGCCACACAGCAAGCGCTGTACATGAGATATAAGCACAACCACACAGCAAGCGCTCTAAACAGGATAGGGGCAATGCCACACAGCAACCGTTGTACATGAGATAGAAGCAAAGCCACACAGCAAGCGCTGCAAAACGGATAGGGGCAATGCCACACAGCAACCGCTGTACATGAGATAGAAGCAAAACCACACAGCAAGCGCTGTAAACAGGATAGGGGCAATGCCACACAGCAACCGTTGTACATGAGATAGAAGCAAAACCACACAGCAAGCGCTCTAAACAGGATAGGGGCAATGCCACACAGCAACCGCTGTACATGAGATAGAAGCAAAACCACACGGCAAGCGCTGTGAACAGGATAGGGGCAATGCCACACAGCAACAACTGTACATAAGCTAGACTCGAAGCAAACCACACATCCACGCTGCCAACAGGATGGGGGCAATGCCACACAGCAACCGCTGTACATGAGATAGAAGCAAAACCACACAGCAAGCGCTCTAAACAGGACAGGGGCAATGCCACACAGCAACCGCTGTACATGAGATAGAAGCAAAACCACACAGCAAGCGCTGTAAACAGGACAGGGGCAATGCCACACAGCAACCGCTGTACCTGAGAGGGCAATGCCACATAGCAACCGCTGTACATGAGATAGAAGCAAAACCACACAGCAAGCGCTGTAAACGGGATATGGGCAAAGCCACACAGGACAGGGGTAGTGGAGTCTGAAACGAACGAGTCAATGATCCCGTTCGCCCCCCCCCCGATCTGCTTCGGCCCTCTGTGCGAGCCTGTCGAGTGATCTGATTCCGACAGCCGATTGAACCCGCCCTAGATCTGCTTGGAGCAACTCCCCACCCCAAAGGTGAAGAGGCCCTGCTCGACTTTGAAGAGAAGCAAGCCACGGACTGCCTGTAATAAAGCGGCAGGACCCGGTTGAGACTGTTGGGATTGGCCTTGGTTTGGGAACACATGCACCAAGCGTGCTCAAGGCTGGCGCGTCTAAAGGGCGTGCCTCCTTTACTGCCGCCAGTACCTTTTGCGAGTTCACTGGCGAGGCCAACAATTTCGCTCACCGGCTACACAGCAAAACGGACTCGCCTTTCGATTCATGGCCGGCCGGCCGATCCAGGTGTTAGTGGATGCCGCCATGGCACCTGAACATTCTAGAGCACGTTGTCCGGAGGCTCGTCAGCAGACCTTTGGCAGCTGCCGCCTTGATGTGATGCTCCGGCGAAGCCCTCGGAGAGTGACAAGGCGGTGTTCCGTTTCCTTGGTCTCGGTCACGCGCAGCATACTCCCCGAAGCACTGCTCGAAGCTCACATGACTGGGCCAAGCTTCTTCTCCGAGGCAAGATCTGGTAGGCTGATCGCCCGATTGTTCATGGCTGTCATGGTAGCTGATGTAGCTGATGTCGATATATGTCGATAACACACAAGAGAATCGATGACACCCACTTCTTAGCTCGACTGCCGCTGGCATCTGATGCCAGCAAGAACGATGCATGGCCTTGTTGTGGTGACGCTTCTTGGACCCCTGAGCCTCTCAACTGCAGATTGTGCAAATACCTGAGGTCACGTGCAGCGAGAGGCGAACTCGGCTTCGAGACTTCGAGATGGTACGATCTCTTCTTTTTGCCAGTTACCCTTTGAGGGTAGCCAGGCCGGAAGGATCCGGTCGAGGGGGCAGCAAGCACTCAAAGTTGCTGTCTACCAAAAAGCAGGGCTTTGAAACCGCTTCTTCCAAGTCTTGAACTTGGAAAGGGTGCGAGCCGATCGTCTTCTTCTGCAAAATCTAAGTTTCTGAACGGCGACATGATCCAATGGACGAGTGGCAAGCAACGTGTGCCAACCTTACTAGCGGCAACAAAACTGCGGAATGCATGCTTTCGAATTCGGATTCCTCTCGATTCCGAGACATCCCCTGTCAACTCATGAGAGCTTTCGTGCCTGCTGTCATCCCAAGAGCTGGCTCATTTTGTCGAACGCCTGGGTCCTGACACGCTGCAGCGTTTCTGACCCACACGGCAGAGCCTCTCTCGGACTTTTGCACGTCCTGAGGTGCATCCCACAAGATGCCGATGGTGATCATGCTCCTTGGGAGAGCCACGGTCGGAGCCGGCAGATGCATTCTTTCTCGCTTTCACGGGCCAAGTGGCTGCTTTAAGGTCTTTTTCTTTTTCTTCTTGTCAGACGGCAAGCCTTGGCACACACGGGCAGGTTCGCGGTTGGACCTTTGAGCAGTCGTTAAGGAGTCAAGAAGGGACCTCAGAGAGGGTTTCGTTGTTTCACCAAGTAGCTCAGAGGTACCATGCCCTCAAACCCGTTGCAGAACTGCTCCACCTGAAACATAAGGCACGATCGACACTCGCATGAGCTGGCTGCGATCGGCCTGAACGACTCCGGTGCCGACGAGATCGTCAGAGCTGTAATGGTCCTCAGCACCATGCGGTCCACTGTCTGTAGCCGTGTACAAAGTGTCCTGCAACTTGCATGTTGCTGTGCCAATTTATCCCAGGCGCATAGTCCCAAACCGAAATCTCCAAAGCGACTTCACCGTTGTACGCCAAAGGCCCTGAGCCCGCAGCCCGCTACTTACATGAAACTGCGTAGGCTAGAACAAGCTTTTTGCAATGCTGCTGGGGTATGCCTTCACAGTTCCATATGGGATCTGAACCGGCATCTTGAAGAACGCTGGTTCCTTTGATGCTGCTACACATGTGGATGCTGTTGCATCAGACTGGTTGTTTGTCCAAGCCACTGAACTCGGACTTACTGCCACGAAACCTCACGGCAGCGTTCGAGCGATTTTCCTATCCAGCCCACAACTGCAACGCAAGGCTCTGCAAAAACAGGTTCTTGGGCAGGGGCCTGACAATCGCATATGGATCGAGCTTGTCAAACCAGCCACCACCACTCAAATTCAGCGCATTCCGGACCGATATATGAGCCTTGGTACTGCAGGGGTCCTTCACTCTTCAGCTGCGGAGCTTTGGTGCCGCACCTTCGTGCCGCGATAAGCGACCCGGAAGCGGCTGGGGTCTACGGCTTCTTCCACTTTCGACATGTCGAACAAGCCTTTACACCACGGAATGTTCCGATTTCAGAAGAAGAGTATGACAGCCACCTTGCAGCCCGTGCCTTTCCGCATGGTATCAGCCTGATCCTCAGTCTCCCATCGCTCAATCAGCACCTTGATGATCCCCTGCCGGCAACAAGGGGTTTTCCGCTTCAAGTCAGATGAGAGGGGTTCCTGTCCTTGACCGTCGATTGCTTGTCCAAGGCAGAGATACGGCAGGACTGCATGAACTGTTTTTCTCGTTGGCTTTTGCGGACCTGGTCCAGAACGGGTACTTGCATCGCTGAGAACATCTCGAGCTGATGGAGACATCGCAAGCTCGGCTTGGTGCAAAGTCCACGAATCTCTTCTTCGAGGTCTGCCATGGGTTGAGCCCCACGAGTACAAGCATAAAGGCAATAGCAGCTGCCTTCAGCAATGTGATCTTCTCATTGGTGCCTGACCATGAAGTCACATCAGATCTGCTTTCCCGGCCTACGCCTAGTATGCTGGTCGCACTTGCAATATCAGTTTAGAGATCGAGCACCAGCAGCCTCTCTGGTAGCCACCGATTATGCGGAAGTTCGAGAGCTCCTTGGGACGGAAGCTTCCCAACCAGACTGCTCCGCCGTGCTCCAAAGTTGAGTCAAGCCGCCAAAGCAAATGCTGTGGCGTTCGCAGCACCTTCCAGGGTCCGCTGGAAGACCGGTCCCAGCCTCATCTCACGCAGGACCGTGTGCAAAACGCAAACTGGAGTCGTGAACAGAGCACTCTTGTTGAGACAATGGGAACGAGTCCGTGGCATAATGGTCTCGTGACCCCAGGCTTCGTTTCCACCGAGATTAAAAAGTACCTGAAGCCAGAACAGCAATGTGATAGCGGGCTGTCGCGCCTGACTTGCAGGGCCTGATTTGGCCAAACTCGCTGCTTGGCTTGCTTCGTGAGCGCGCTGATCTTCTCGTAGTCGTAGCGGACCTCGTGAACAGATCGTTTTCCAGGTTAGTTTCCTTCTGGCTTGTCTGAATACGAAGCTATCTATGTCCAATCCGAGCCGCTCCAAAGTAGATCTTCCCTGCTGGCTCCATCCTTAGCTATCGCACTCGCAAGCCACACGTGAATCTTGAAGGGAATCCCTGTTCAGTATGAACCTTCTTCACCGATTCTTCACCTGCAAGTCCAAGGCCAGGAATGAGCCGGCTTACCTGCATGTCCTGCTCCTGTGGTACACTAGAACTCAGCATGGGCACCCGACACCCCCTCCCCATCCCCCCAATTACCAGTTTAACCATCTTCGCACTGCACCTGCAGGTTGTTTCTTCTCACATTCCCAATTCAAGGTCTCTGCATGCCCGTTTTGGCAGTATCTGCATCCTGCAGGTCCCACGACTACCAGTGACTACCATCCAGGCAATTCTACACGTTCGCATTGACAAATTGGGGCGGCCGCAGAAGCTACAGGTTCGTATTGACGATATGTGGGGACACGGAAGCTCAACATGCAGTCCCCATCCAACAACCTTGATTCGCTGATCATGAGCAGTCACCAACAGAACAACCACCTTTGCAAAGCGCGTCATTCCGTCAGCTGCTGTCCCAAGGGCAACTGCTCGTCGTCTTTAGAAGCTCCGATCGTGCGCTTTGGCCGCTGCAGCTCCACCTTCCCATACCATCCATCATGCCTCGTAAACAGCACGGCACAACTTCACCTGATCTCTACAAGTATGCCAAGCCCATCGAGGCAAGTCACAAATCCGAAACCTTGACTGTGCAGCTGCCACACAGATCATCTGCAGAGAACTTGTCGTGGTCCATGACCTCAGACTCTAGATTCTGTCCTGTTGGCAGCCACGTGGCGATGCAACGAATTGACGGTGCCAAGGCGCGATAATTTCCAGTTCCTAAGAGAAACAACTCGGTTCTCAGAGTGTTGGCGAAGCCCCCGAAACTTGCCTCTTCCTCGGCGAAAGTCAACACGCCTTGGTACCTCATTGCGTCGGGTCTCGCACTCATCAAAACAAGAGCAAACAGTACATACTTGCATGTGCATGCATCATGGACGTAGATGCACACCTGCACAGGGACACAAGCACATGTCTCGGCGACTGCAGCCAGCTGACTGTCTGCCTCTCTGTGGCTCTTCCCTGTCCCTCTCCTCCTGCCTAGATAGCCGGATGTCTCTCCGACTTACGCTACAAGGGCACCTACGAGCTATGCGGCTTTTACACTGGTCAGTGGATAAACCTAGCAACGCTTACCTTATCTTCGTCTTTCGCTGCCCTGACTCTTCGGAGCGACATCTTGGCACCAGCTCCGACGGCCATCGCGGTCCCGGTGTCTTGGGCGGTGCCGGCCCTTTCTTGCCCTTGTGCCGTCTCTGTCTGTCAGTCTGTTTGTCTGTGTGTGTGTGTGTGTTTCTGTCTGTTTCCAAGAGCTCTCGCCTCTATCTCTTTCACTCTGTCGTCAGGCCTACATTGTCAATCTTTCTTTCGGTGGGTTTTTCCAGGGCTATCCAGGTCTCAGGCGCGTTCAAACACCTCAGGGGTCCGTCATATGAACCCTTCTCTCTTCCATTTGCTGAAGCCAGCGGAACGGTAAAATCGCATGCCTGCGTCCGCTGCAACTCACTCCGGGCTTAGGGGCGGGGTGAAGCGCGCTCTTTGCTTTGCTTTGGGGCTAAGGCCGCTTGCAGTCCCCACGACCCGCACGTCAGCGCAACCCCATCCATCACATTGAAGGATGAGCTCAGCTGTGCAGGAAGGAACGTGTGCCCCCGCTTTCGACTTCGAAAAATGGTACGAACTTACAACAGCAAGCTGCTGCCCCGCCGCAGCAGTCGTGCTAACTTCTGCGATGGTCCTCTTCTCTGCTAAAACCAATCTACCTGCCTGAGCCCTTTTTCCTGTCATATTTCAGGTGCTCTCTCCCTCTCTCCCTCTCTCTCCCCCGCTCTCTTTCTCGAAGGTTCGGCAGCTCGCATAGAATGGCGGAGCCCGTAGTGGCCGTGTAGTTCATGTGGGAGCGTACACGACAGTGCAAGAGAAGTGCCAGCTTCCACGAAGTGGGATTGACCAGCCACAACCAGAGACCCCGCGTTGAACTCTGCAAAGCACTCTTCTACCACCTGGCGTTCATTCTACCAGTAGCTGTCTGTGTCTGTATTTGTCCGTGTCTGTCTGTGCCTGTGTCTTAGTGCACAGCAACGAAGCACGTAACTTCACAAAATCGCCCCCTCGACTCGGCATCTCTCTTGGACAGCACTGACAGCGGCTGTGTAGGCATAAGTCGCACTCAGCCGAGGTGCTCAAATTGCGGGTTCACTCCAACGTTCCACATGACCGGAGTCTGGAAACGCTTGAACTCACCAAGCCTCGGGTCAGGTACAATTACAGGCACTGGCAGTGAACAAAAGCTAGGCAGCCCCAACATCTGGCAAGTAACAAGTTAAGACTGACAAGGTAGCTTACAAGTGCCCGAATTAGCTTCGGATCATCTTGCCGGAGTATTTTCTGAGCAATCGAAGTCAGTGCTCAGGCGAGCGCTTCACGATGCAATATGGGTCTAGCTTGTCGAAGATGGAGTCCCCTGGCACGCGATGCGAACTCAACAGAAGCCCGAATCCGTGGAAAGATTTCCTCGAGAAAGAACGGGCAGCTCCCTTTTCCACTGGCTGGCGCTGCCGCTAACCAAGAAGCAACGAAGTGTCAGAATCTGCCTTCAGGGCTTTGGGGCCTCAGAGGCGCTGCGCAGTCTGAGAGCCAGCCTCTCGCTGCCGCCATCCTCATTTCAATGTTGCACGAGCCGTCTAAGAGTTTGACGCAACAAGACCTCCTTGCCTCTGACATGCTGATGGACACGTCGGCCCTTGCTTTAAACAGCATGAAACCAAAACAGGTAGAAGATGACCAGTGCAGATGAGTTTCAACGGTGGCACCGGTCTCTGGGCCGTATATGGTCAGCTCTGGACTCTTGGCCAGGGACTGGGGCACTTGCGGACGTTCGGCTACATCCAACATTCCGACGCCGACCGAACTGTCTTCGTTAACCACCAGCGTCGGACCGCGTCCGAGCTCTTTCACGAGCCCTGCAACTCCACCAGCTTCTGTCGATTCCTTCACATCTGGCAACAGCAGGACCTGAACATTCTGTCTTGCGTCTCCAGAACCAAACAACATGTTGCCGGGCGGGAGTTCTGGCATGTAGGCCTGCATTTCGGGCGACACGAGCTTGTACGCACCACGCGCCTCCAGCCCAGCATCGCGCAAGCTTTTGCTGGTCTCCTCAAAAGCTTCTGGTTCCACAGATAAGGCGATCAACTCGACGGGATCACGCCGGTCTTCCACATAAGCACGCACCATGACTCCGGCAGGGGATTGGACAGCATAGTAACCATAGCCATCAATTAGCTGCCCTCCTGTTGAAACCACCCTCGAGATGCGGACTAGAGCAGGTGTCACTGTTTGGACGAAACTGAGGCGGGGTGCCTTGGACGACGCGTCCGATTTGCCAGCACCTGGTGTTGATGCGGAGGGCACAATCTTGATTGCAAAATACCCACCCTCTTCACCCCCCAGGCTCGGGGGACCAAACCCAACCAGCACGCCACCACCAGGAAGTGATGCATAACGTTGCATCCCAAGCGCTTCGCACCAAAACCGTTCCTCCTTCGCGACATCGGACGTCTCAATTTTGAGTTGACCGACAAGTCGAGTTTGCTTGTCTGTTTTCAACCTGTCTTGAAGATCCTTGAGAAACGTTTCGTTCATGCTGATTCGCTCCAGCTCCTTCTGCCAGAAGTCCACCATCTCAGGCTCGCCTCTATCGGACTCGCCTAACCCGATTGCCTTGCCCAGCTCCTTCTCTGCCGCTTCCAGCCGATCCTTGGCAGACTTGAGCTGAATCTCAACGTTCTTCTTTGCACCAATGGCTGGCCGAGCTGGGCAATTCACAGAGGCATCGATGATCGCAACGCAGGTCGGCGGTGATACGGTGCCATCTCGTGCTACTGCGGCAAACGGCCACCACAGGAAAAGGCAGAGCACAAAGGCAGCCCAAACGTTGCCTGCCTTCTGATGCAACGTTCCCCGTCCATCCGGCTCCCGAGCTAGTCCCGGTACAGAGACCCTCTGATGCACACCTCTGACTGATCCAGCGGCAGGTTCCTTAATCTTCACCTCAACGAAATTCTGGCCAGGGAATCCTGCCGTGCTAGAATATAGGCACAGACAAACCCCCGCTGCACACAGCAAGTGGGCAAGCACCGCCATGGCTGTGGAATTTTCGACCAGGTTCTTGGACGCTAACTACACGGTTGCACGTTAAGTCCTATTAACATGAATCACTCTAGCCAGCAGGCGCTCAAGCATAGGGCACGAGCACGTAGCTTGGAATTGCAACATCTGCAGCCGCGCACGCAACGAGCACAGAGACAGAGAGAGAGGAAGAAAGAAGGAAAGAAAGGGAGAAAGAGAGAAAGAGTGAGAGAGAGAGAGAGAGAGAGAGAGAGAGAGAGAGAGAGAGAGAGAGAGGGAGAGGGAGAGAGGAGAGGAGAGGGAGAGGGAGAGGGAGGGAGAGGGAGAGGGAGAGGGAGAGGGAGAGGGAGAGGGGAGAGGGAGAGGGAGAGGGAGGGAGAGGGAGAGGGAGAGGGAGAGGAGGGAGAGGGAGAGGGACAGGAAGAGAGAGACAGAGAGCGAGCGCAAGGTCGACAGAGAGGGGATGAAAGGAAACCACTGGAGCCTGCGAGCTTCTCTGCCTTGTCCAGGAAAATGCCTGATAGCAGTCAGTACAGTGAGAGTGCTCAGACGTCCCGCTGCTCGACTGTGCGGACAAGGTGCGCATTCGTTTCCTCTTCGGAGGCAAAGCATCCAGCCTTTCGCTCAGCTTGATGTCACCGCGAACCTCAATGCCTCACAGAACACAAGACGGTTTGCATGATCTGCGCACGCCCTAGCCCTTCACACATGCCATCATTTCAGGAAAGGGGCTGCCCTTCGAAACCATCACCACGCTTTCTTCCACAGGTGGGTCGCTCAGTAACTCCTGTAGCAGTTGCGACTGCAACCTCTTCACAAAGCCCTCTAAGACACAGAAATGGACAGGGTTGCCACGGAGCCTGGCCAGGCAGCAAGTGGACCTGGGTCGCAACCTGACGCGGCGCTGCCGAATGATGCACTTTCGTTCAACTATCCGGCTATCCGAGCCATTCGCCTTGGCTAGTTCTTCGAGAGCGTGTTTCACAGCACCTGGCTGCTTCTCCTCGGACGAGCCGGTGACTGACGTTTCGGCGCTTCCTAGCTTAGGTCTCCTCTAGGATCTTCGTTTTCTCGGCAAACGACAGGGAGGCCTCAGCAAGGAGCCACCAGGCACATGCTTCACAATCTCATAAATAGCAACAAGCCAAAAGGTCCCTGCAAAATCTATTTTGCTGTGTGGTCCAGTCATACTCTCAGGCAGCACCTCAGCTACTCATGATCGCCCTTCACACTGACGGCGGATGTTCTAGCAGAGCACGTGTCGAAAGTCAAGTTGAAGCGAGAGGCCACTCTCGAGAGCGCGGGCGCGTGACGCATACTCAAGGCGATCTTTCTGTTTCCGAAAGCCCGATCTGCATACGCAGCCTGCCGGCGCAGCTCAATCGAAGAGAGTCCCTGCAAACCCACAACGCATTCGACGGCAAGCTTCTGCTTCCAAGAGCCTCCAATACCTCATTCCCCAAAACCTTGGAGCACAGGAACACTGAGCGCCTGCTCCCACGAAGCTGCACGGCCCAACTTAATTTGTTCTGCTTCCTGGGGGCTCCGATGATGCATGGCTCTTCGCATTGCGCAGCACCACCGACGATGTCCATCATGCACTCGTCCCCTAACCTCCCACCAAATCGCAGAACAGAGTATGCAGACGTAGCGACATTTGAACGTAGCCAGCCTGAAGTGGTTTTCGCCGAAAATGGCTCCCTTGGTGAGTTCTTGACGCTCCCCAACACCATTCGGATCCACATAGAGGTGCACCTTGCCTGTGGTCGTAAACAGCAGACAGACAGGCTGGAAAGGTATTCAATGCCTTCATCTGAAATTATTCTTGCTGCTGTATGCTGATTCTGCCCATGCTCTCTCCAACGGGGCACCTGACATGAGCAGGAAAGATCTAGAAGTCGCGCGCGGCCACGCGGCCGCAATCTGTTCGCTGCCGAAAATCCATCGGCCCATCGAGAGCCTTTCTGCAAACGGCAGAGAAAAAAGGCGGTGTTGCCTATGCCCTGTGTGCTCTGCAAGCCAAGGCCTCAAGAAGGGCAGCGCACGCAGCAGCCTGACAAAGAACATCTCACCGTCTCACCACTCCAACGACTGCGCCCACGGCAGGCAGTCGCGGCAGCCTGTCCAACTGCACATCGTCGAAGCGCTGGAAGAGCAGGGGATTCAAACTGCGAATCTCGCGGGCGACGGACCTGGATCGTCTTTGACGAAGTACTGGATTGCTGACAAAAATCAAAACAAGCCTGCTACCAATTGTAAGAAAAGCCTGCTTTCGATGCGTTCGAAGCACTTTTCCAGGAATCTCAACTCTGTCTGCATTTTCTGTGGTACTCTGTGGCCCGTCTTCTCTGTGTTCAAGGCCAACTGCCGTATCCTGGCTCGGAGCACAATAAGACCGCATGCATGCCCGGAGTAGACGCTGAAATGCGAAAAGAACACTTCCGAAAGCCAGACCTGTAGTACAAGGGCAGGTAGAAGGTCAGACCTTTGGCCGTCGTCTCATCTGCCCCTGAGTCATGGCCAGCGAGAGCATGAAAACCATGCTTGCAGCACCTCAGGAATATCGCTTTTGGCACGACTGTAAAGGCAGCGAAGCTTTGTCGCGGCATTGCCTTGTGACAGTCTTTGTCACTGGCAACTCAATCCTAGCCATTTCGGGCAGAATTGCTAATCGAGGAGGAGGACAGCGGAGCCTGCAGAAGGTGTGGCTCATGCAGCACGCAGGCGCAGCACACTTCCAGAATGCATGGCGCAGCGAAACTAAAGTCTTGAGGTCGCGACTGTCAGCGAGTACGACAAAGACCCCAAGGTGTCCGCATCTCTTGGTGGTCGCAGCCGGCCAATAGGTGTACGATTGTCCTGAACAGGCTTTTGCTCGTGACAAGGCCCTTGCTCGAGCGCCCTACTCCGACACCTACTGCTGCTGCTGCATCCCCCTCGTCCTATACCTCTACTATCTCTGCTACCTCTACTACCTCTTCTTCTTCTACGCTGACCCCCCAGACAGCTGCCGCCTTGCTGTGGGCCAGCCCGGCGTCATTTGACGAGGCAGCCCTCTCTGGAAGATCGGCACTTCCACGTGGGAGGCTCTGCATGAGCGGGCCCAAGGAGTCTGAGAGGGCCAAGCCATCCATCTCGAAAGAGCTAGAGTCCTTCCTCTCGCCACCCGCAGCCTTCGAGCTTGCATCCAGCTTGCTTTCGCTGGGGCTCGGCGAGGCTTGGCGCAATCTGCGTCGATCGGGACTGGTTCCAGTCTCAGGAGCGGGCCCGGACCCGGACCACTCATCTTGAGAGGTGCCTCCTGGTCCGAGTTCTTGTTGTATCTTTTGTTGCAGCATTCGTCGCTCACGCCTGGCCTCTGCTGCTGCATCTTTCAGAGCCTGCAGATGCTTTGCCTCGGCTGCTGCACGGTCCTCGGGGGTGCGCGGCTTGTAAACAGTCGCGTGTTGTGTACTTTCGGATCTCTCGTGTTCACTTGCCTCCTCGGCCTCCGCCTTCCGTTTTGCGTCGATGAGCTTCCGATCGCGGCGTGCTTGTGCGCGTGCCTCCTGTAGCGCCATCAAGTGCTGGGCTTCCGCGCTTTCTCGACTCTCCTTGGTCCGTGATGGGCTCGACGAGTTTGCGACCTCGAAACCCTGGTTTGTGCAAGGATCTGGGCCTTTCTCAAGCTCTTTCAACTTTTGTTGAATCTGGCGGCGATCTCGACGCGCCTGCGCAGCTGCTTCGTGCAAGTCGAACAGATGCTTGGCTTCATCCGCCGAGCTTGCTCGCATTCGAGCTGGCTCGTAGTCCGTCGAATCCATATCACGCACTCGGGGCGTCTCCAACTCTCGGCGCAAACGCTGCTGTCCGTTTCGCCGGTCACGTCGTGCCTGCGCAGCTGCCTCCTGCAAAGCTCGCAAATGCTCGGCCTCGTCCACCACCTTTCGAGAGCTGACTGCATGTTCTGGCTCCTCGCTGCGGCTGCGACGACGCCACTGCCATTGTCCCTCGGTGCCTTCAACACGCGCCTTTACGGCCATAGCTGCATCCCTGTTCTTTCTGAACTCGTTCGCAATCTGAGCACTCTCTGGAAGAGGTGGCCTCCTCCGATGCCCATGGTCCGTCTGCTGCAGAAGATGCTCCAGCGAATCTGCCATGTCCTGCTTCTCAATCTTCTCATGCTTCTGCTGCACGTGCTGCGGCACGAAAGTCTCATCCTGAGGAGTGCAGTCGGACTCGAAGACTGGCCTCGTCAAGACTTCTTGGATGCAAGGCCGTCTCTCTGGCGTCTTCTGCAGCATGTCAGACACAAGATCCTGGACCGACTGGCTGACTGCCAGAGGCGCAGGAGTGGCAGTTACGATGTTATTGATCAGCGCTGCCAAATTGCTGCCGGTAAACGGTGGCCCTAATGCCAAAAGCTCGTAAAGGACCACTCCAAGCGACCAGACATCAGCCTTCATACCATAAGGCTGACTGTGGCAGACTTCCGGCGCAAGATACAGCGGAGTTCCAATCATGGTGATCGCTTCTGCAGCTGTGTGCGCAAGAACTTTGGCGATGCCAAAATCCCCTAGCTTCACGCAGCCCCCTTGCGTCAAGAAAATATTCTGAGACTTCAGATCGCGGTGCAGTATGTGCTGATTGTGCACATGCTGGATGGCAAGGCAGATCTGTCCAAAGATCTTCAAGGCTTCGCTTTCACAAATGATCTCCGATGCAGCCTTCCTCCCTTTGATCAAATGGCTCAGATCCCCACCGTCGGCATATTCCATCACGATGCAGAGCATCTGCCCCTCCAGGAAGGACTCGCAATATTCCACAATGTTCGGGTGTTTTAGCCGCTTCAGCACATCGGCTTCGTTCTTAGCTTCCCTCTGCGCGGAAAGAGGCATGCGCGACAAATCAATCTCTTTGATGACACCTTGGCCGGCGACATAAGGGGAGTTTTGCGGGCATGCGGCTTTAACCTGCTTGGAACGTGGTGATGGTCTCAGGTTGTGTGCTCTGTGACCTGACTTAGCCACGCCTTTGGACAAAAGGGCCTCGCAAGCGGGCGCCTGCACCCGAAGAACACTCGTAAATTCAGCACTGCTCAACTAAGGCGACGACACTGTCGACGATTCCTTCTCTCCCGAACGAGGACGGCACAACCGTACGAGCCACGGCCAAGTTCGCGCAGGCGCTCGTATCTCTCCATGGCACACCATGGGCTCTCAAGTCCTGAAGCTGCAGTGGTGTGTTCAGGTCACCTCCATGGTTCCTGCTGCTCGAGCCAGCAGCTTGCATTCAGAAAGCACGGGTGGAACAAGATGTGCGACGGCTTTCAAGTGCTCTGAGCCTGGATATGCTTGGGCCTTTCCTGGTCGTCCTGCTCACATCGAAACGGTGCATTGTCTCTGACTCGGAAAAGCATCCGGTAGAGTCCTGGCCAGGTGCCCTGGGTTGTGGCGGCTAACGCTCCGTCATGTTTGGCACCCGAGAAGCCCTCCGACAAAGAGAGGGCAGTGTTCCGTTTCCTTCGAGGCGAAAGGACGTGTCTCTCTACGAAGCTCAAGCACTACAAACGAGACACAGAAGCGTCCTCTCGGCGACCAGGTCGGGCAGGCTGACGGTTCGCGGATTCATTCCTAGCTATCTGGACTATAATCTGGACTTTCTTGGTTGACTGGATAATGCTCACTGAGGTTGTAGGCTAGTGTGGGTGCTAAGAATGAGTGAAGCCGCGGCAGTGCAAGTGAAGTGAGTTAGACTGGGTAGGCAGGCACTCTCTCATTTCCAAACACCCCCTTCTCCGGGGTGTTTGTGCCAAAACGGCTGAAGGACGGCGAACCCTTAATGACGAGGCGCATAATGACCGGCTTCCCGTCGCAAGGATGCACAGGAGCTGAGGCACATCGCTTGTCACGGCTAACGCAGGCGCAAAGTCTCTGAGTAGCCTTGTGTCGTGCCTGACACGACATGTGCGATATGAACGTCACCAAGCATTGCCCTACGGTGGGCTGGAAGCTGTCAGCAACATATGCTGGCAGCTCCTCTCCCACCTGATGGGCGCAGTATCTGCAACCGAAAGCCTCCTCCATGTCAGCACAGTTGTTGAGAAAATGCAAGGCTTCTGAGTCACATCGCTGGCCCGAGGCGGCACAAGTAGCATCACAGCTTTCTCCGCGCTCTGCTCTTACTGGGGCCATGTGGGTATCCCGCACAACACTCATGGACCCTGGAAGGTACGGCTTCTCACTTCTCCTGTCTGCGAACAGAACCACAGCCTGGGAGACGACGTGGCGGCCAACTACCAGCCCATGATGCTCAGCCCGGACGTCAGGCGGAATCACATTGGTCATTTTCAAGGGAACCAGTCCGAAGATTGGTGCGATGTGTGCGTACGATTCTCTGACATAGGGCAAGATGTACACGTGCTTCGGATCCAAGACCCCCGTTGCACGTGCTTCGTATAACGTCCATGCCGCATGTGCCTTTCCCACAGGCTGATAATCCTGACAGCATCTGCACCCCCAATTGGGGTATCTGGGTGCAAACATAAAATACTTTGAACAACGGCTCCAGCCGGCGAGCACAGCACACGTGTCAGGATCGAGATGGGCTCCCAGATTGACGGCTTCCGTGTCACACTGGTATCCTTCCTGATGTACAACACTGACACCCTTGAGCGGTACAGCACTTTGTGTAGCACGCAGTATCCAACTTTCATAATTTGCCTGTATCAGGTAGGACAGGTCGCCAAAGTGGTCACAGCCCGAGGAGCTGCAAGAGCTTGCGAGGCTCGCTAAAGCCATAGACTGGAAGAATTCAACTTGCTTGGCCTGTGTAATGGATGAACCATTCTGGCTGAAGTGGCGGCTTCGTGGGACTTCTGGAACTATGCACTCCTTGTTCCATCTACGGAACGCAGTGCGCATCCAATAATCCCAACCCATCGTTGGCGCAGACGGCCACTGCTCACGTAGCTTTAACCAAGCATGCCGCGGCAACATGAAGCCCAAACCAGGAAAGTATGTCGTCCTGAAAAGGCGACACTGGTCAGAAACTGCGAAGGTAAACCCCGCGTCATTCCAGGCACTCACACACCACAAACTTTCATCCTGCTGAAAAAGCTGCCAGGTGCTGAGGAACAGTGCAAGAAAATCAGGTGCAAAAACTAAATCTTCCTCCACGAAGACTGCATGCCTGAACTCCTCCACCAGAAAAACCCTTTCGAAAGCTGCCCAATAGTGGTGCGCGATCTTGCCTGTGTTCGTTCTGAACCATTTCTGCTGCTCTTCATTGTCAGATGTATGGTTGACCTCTCTCTTCGGCACAGACATCGTCACAACACTCTGGTTATACTGTTTGGCGAGTCTTGTCGCCACATCTGCCATCCTTGAATAATATTCTGGATCATCTAGTGACACGTATACCTTGAACATGCCTGCCTCTCTTAAACTCAGTAGCGACTTCAAGCATTCAAACAAATCGCTCTCTCGATTGTGGCCAAGAACAACGATTGCAGCATTCAGCTCGTCAGAATGAGTATGAATGGGTTGTCGTTCCTGCTGGCATTCCCCAGCAAGTAGACACTCTTTCACGTGCACTCCTTGGGAAGCCAGTGCGAGCTTCTTGCCTTTAACCAGGTGGCAATGTCTAGAATGCACAGGGTTGCTGCACACCACGCCTTGACAGTCATCGCCACGGAGCATGCACAAACTCTTGGCTTGTGCGAGCCCATAGGTGTCCGAGCTTACCGTCGCATCGTCAAAGCCGGAACGTTGCAAATGCTTCCATTGACACTGTTGCACTGCCTCGTCCGGAAGAGAGGTTGGTATTGGACCACGGATTCGGCTAGAGCACCGCAGACAAACAGGAAGCTGGACATGTTGGCTGGGCTCGCTCCGCCCAAAACTGCTCTGAATGTGCACAACCGGACCGACATCCCATTGTACTTGGCTCAACCTCCATACCAAGAACATGCAAACTGCGATGTTCAACAACACCAGCCCAAGCAACAGCTGCGAACTGCAAGCAGAATTCCCATGGCGGCTCTTTCGAGACATGGCTTTCAGAATCAGTACACATTGACCTTTAACAGCAGGCTTTACCCCAACGAGACAGGACAACACTCGCAGATGAAGTTGCAGGCTGGAACCTGAGTAAGTTGGCCAAAGTGAGAAGCAACGTCTTGCACACACCAACATACGCCACACCTCTGCCTTCAAACACTACATAACTGGGTTGTAGTTTTGGGGCTCTGAAAGGTATTTATGAATAGGTACCTCTATAGGAACCATAAGGGAAATTAAAAAGTTTCCCAAATTGCCACCTGGATAATAACGGCATGCGGGAATTAATGCCATTCATTCATTCGTCCATTCCATGCGCCCATTCACCTATCCATCTGTTCACCCTTCCATGCCAGCATGCTTGAAGCTTTATGTCGCGTCCAATCCTCTCTTTTCATTACACCTTGCTTCCTTCGGTCTTTTTTGACATGCACTTCTTGCATTCATGTCATCCATTTCATTCAGTTCATTTCATTTCGCTAGTTTCCTGCACTTCTTTCATGTCATTCGATACGTTTCATTCGCTTTATTCCTCTCATACACTTCATTCGTCTCAATCATTTCATTCCGTTCACCTGATTCGAGTCAATCGTGCCTCAATTCTATCATTCGATCATCCATTTCACTTCATTGCATTCCATGCCACACGTTCCACGCCATTCCATTCCATGTCGTTCATTCATCTGAACTCGTTCATTCATTCATTCATCTCCATTTGCTCCTTCCTCCCTCCATTCCTCCCTTCCTGCTGGCTGCATGCACTCATTCATGCACGAGTCATGTCATAGGTTCAGAAAAGCAGTAGATTCGCGGATACACAGATACATAGGTGAAATACAAAAAAAACATACAGACAGACAGACAGACAGACAGACATACCTTTATACATACAGTACATCCCTTCATACATACATGTAGACGTACATACCTTCACATACATACATACATACATACATACATACCAGTAACAGGTAACCCCCAGCCCCAGACCCATTTCTCTGCAGTGTTGCTGGGATTCCTGGCACAGCCTATAGGTACGTACAACATTACCAGTAAGATACCTCCTGCTGCAACCCGGTGCAACATCTTGTTTCCGGGCGCCCGACCGCTGATGCGATTTCTCAGAGCAAAAGGCAAGAACCAATGGTGACAAATATTGCAAGCGAACACGAAGCAAGCAGAAACTGTGCAACTGCCAGTTGTCTTCGCGGGGGCGCACTTTTATTTGCGTGTTCAATTTTCGGTAGTTGAGGATTGTGAAAGTTTACCAAACGTATGCGGGAGACCCCCGCTAACGAACGAAGGTCTGCCCACTGCTGTATCTCGTCCTATAGACCTAGAACCACCTATTTGTAGCGGTCTAGATCCGGCACTTTCGGACTTTCTGCCTCTCCATGATAATCTCCATGATACGGCAAAGCGATATCGAACATACCTACATACATACATACACACCCCTTCCCAGACCCATTTCAAAGGGACCACCCCCCACTGTCACCGAAATAAGCCGTGCGACCCCCGAGAATAGGTGGGGATCATAGTAACCCCCCCACCCCGGCACGACCTATTGTTAAAGGGTGGTCTCTGACCCTACACCCACAATCCCAAATCGTGGCCACAGCGGAGTTTTGCTTGGCTGTGGTGAAAACTTGTCTCGGCACAAACATCACATGTAGATCACTCTCGGTTGTGGTGAACCAGGTGATTACTCAACAATCAAAAGTGTTGGGGAGGCGCTTCTCGACTCAGCTAAATGTCAAGGACAGGGAGGGTCCTGTGCTCGGAATAGTTGCTACTTGTAGACGAAATCGGCCAAAAAGCGCAGCTTTCAGCATGTACGACAGAAATGCTAGTTTCTGGATGCTGCAGTCAACTTGAGAAGAGGGCCACGAAAGCTAGGGGAGAGGAAGCGTAGCTGCGAGCAATTGGGGCTGAGTAAGGCGGGGGACACATGTGACATGAGAGTACTGTCGAACGACACTGCGAAGGACCAAAAAGAACTGGAGCCAAGACGCAGCGCAAACGACAAACTTCAAACACAAGCAAACTCAGGGACCTTGTGGAAGGAGGGGGGGGGGGACCTGTGGGTAGGGGGGGGGGAGCCCCCCCCCCACCTTGTCCCACGCGCCGCAACCTTAAAGGTGGGGGGGGGAGGCGGGGGGAAACCACACCTTGTCTCTTCAAAATGCTTCATGAGCGAGGTGAGGGGGGGGGCGGCCCCTCCTCCCCCCCACCCCCCCACCTTAACTCTTGGACGTCCCACCTGATAAGGTGTAAGCCCTGGTTTTGCCCTAGTGCCTTAATACAAGGTAGACCAAGTGAAAATTGCTAAAGGGCAACTCCCGCGAGCTCAACAGAGCTAGCTTTCGTGACTACGACGGTAATTCTCTCCCCTCCTCCCTGGCAAGGAAGCCGGCATTGCAGGGTTAGCTCGCGCAACAGGGAAACTGCCATCTTGGAAGCCAATTGCAGGCGCCATTGCACCATAGTCCGGCATTGTTTGCCATCTCTTTACCTTCTTTGTTTTGGGTTTCGAAGACTTGTGTTAAGCCCTCGAATTTCTCGCCGTAATGGTTGACGGTGATTTGTTCAGGTTGGTTTATGCAAGTTCGTCCTCGGCCCTGGAATTCTGGAAGCCCCTAGTTATGCAAGGTCACAGTTTTGGTAGCAACCACCAGGGCTCGGGAAGCAGGAGAACAATGCACAAATGAAACCTCCTCAAAAACCTCTGGCAGCTCCTATCAAGAAACCAAGTCAAGTGAGGGGTAGGGGCCATACCGGGCTAAGGCTTCAATTCCACAACAACTCTGATAGTGTAGCGCTGCCGGAGTTCGAAGTTTTGAATGACCGCATCGCAGGCTAGATTGCAGGTCGCACTGATTGCTGCACGAAGGCGCAACGACCTGCTTCTTCGATCAGCGACTGGCAGTAGAACATTTCCGTTGAGGACTTTCGGTCCACAGTGACACAGCATCCTTGTCCAAAGTCCGGTCTCCAGGTTTCTGTGCTTTGACCTGCATTCTCCGTCCATGGCTACATGGAGCACGGCGAGCGGAATGCATGCCAAACCCATGCCAGTGCACGGCACTGTCCTGTGTCTATCTCACGATGTGGCGGAAAGAACTCCTAGGAAAGCACAATCCACTCCGTACACCTTGATGGCATCACAGTTCGGTGCGCTCTGTGCACGGTGTCTTACAAGATCCATAAAGGTCTGTGACATTGCGCATGGCTGTTGCACCACGGCGCACAAAAGCAAATTGGATGTTGCAGTTGATAGGATCCTGCGATGCAAGGCCTTGGCCAATCACTCCAGCGCCACACTCGCAGATGGGAAACATGCGAATCTTCCCAGGGCCGTCTTTACCATATTCGTACGGCACGTGCCCTGTCTCAACCTCATCATTTGGATGCAATCGGCTTCTGCGGAAACAGTTACCTTCAAGGTTATGGTACTAAGCCAGGTCTAGCTGGAGTGGCAATGCTGGACCTACTGGAATCCTTCAGCAAGCAAAGACTGGAAAATGAGGCTACCAAACAAGCAGGTTGGGAACCGCCTCTGAATGCATTCGGACGGGCAAAGTGCTGTTAACACAATCGTGCCCCAGACTGCCATGTCGAAAACCAGGAAATGTCTCCACATCCTCCAGGCCGAACATGAGAAAGTCGTGAGACTGCATGATCCCCATGATCCACAGCATTCCAGACCTGCCGATTTCTGCTTCTATCATCTCCACCTGGACGATTTCGGTCTTGTGGAGGACAGCGCGGACACCTGCAAACACGGCTTCGTAACTCGCACGGTCATCCACGTCTATCTTCAACAAATCGATCTTGTCAACGTTCTCGAAGAGATCTTCTACGTACCTTACTTGCGCATTCAGGCCCATTGTTGGTGCAGCTTCATAATGCACGACACGAAAACAATCCACCTGACTCCCCTGACCCGATGCTGCCTCGAAGCTGCGTAATTTAGAACTCCTGGGAAAGTGGGACAACGCAAGACTGCACGGCAAAGAAGGGCCAAGGAGGCCAAGGCGCGAGTCGCCGGCTACGGGGCCATGCAAAATCCCACGCGTGTGCCAACCATTGATGTCGCGGGTCAACTCAACGAACTGGCGCTCTGCTGCTGTGCCGTCGCGGCCGAGGCTGTAGCCGGTCTCAAACCTTGGCTTCGAGCGACCGGCTGCAGCACCAAGAGACTGTTTCACCTGGAAGTCGACGTCGGTCAGGTTTCAGAATGACCCAAATCTTTCCAGGGCAAGTCACGACCGAGGAGCATGTGAACTACGTGGCCTTTGCTGAGCAAGGGCCAACTGCAAGCGCCAGAGTCACCCGCTCCGATGTCAACTGCAACTCCTGCGCACCCGCATGCACAATGCACTGCAGCAAAATCATTCTTCTGTTGCATCCTGCCATATATGTTAGATTTGCTTCGCATTACCTAGCTCGGTATGTTCTCCAACAGAAGATGTTTCGAAACCATTGCCAGCTGGGGCAGCCATGCATATGTCTCATTTCAACTGGTGCAGAATCCCATGTTTAACTTTGGCAAAACATCATCGACAACTAAAGCATGTTCCAAGTCCGAACGATTACGCACGATCGCGGGCATTACAAAGCCAGACAAACACTGCCTCTGACACTTGCCTCCCACCTGGATGCGACAACCCGAGAATGCCCGAAGTAACGACCACGCCTGCGCCAGTGGTAGATAATCGCATCAACCAGGGCAAAATGTCGCAGTCTCCGATCTTGTCTTGGTCATCGCTTGGAAGGAAAACGCTGAAAGGTTCAGCATCCTCAAAAATTTGGAACTGAAAAGTACAAACGAAATACTCGTATCCATACTCCCTCTTCAGAGCAGGAAAATCACCTCCGTCGCCTATACAAGATGACTCCCGAAGCCTGCGACGCAACTTCTTCCGTCGACTAGCTGGCAGTCTGTCCAAGTGAAGCTTATCCAGAGCCTTCACATACAAATATTCTGATATCGCTGGAGTCGCACGACATACTCGGTCTGATGGCGGGTTTGGTAAGCAGAAAACCCTGTCCGCTATCTTCACGCTTCTGGAAGAGACTCGGCTCTGCTTGGCTGCCGTAGGTGGTGAGATGGTCAGCAACAGAACAACTGATGCCCAGTTGCAGGGATGCCATGTGAAGCAATAGATCATGATGGGGCGAACGATGCTTCGGCTGAGCCAAACACAAATCCAAGTTGAATCAATCCATGAGGCCTGGGCCTTGTCCCCTGCTGCCTTTAGTATCGGATCTTGATTTGGCCCTATGTATCCCTTTGCATGGACTGTCACACAATATGCGCTGATGGCACGCACGTGAGAAACCCCCCACGGCGATGGTATGTGATGGGTGAAGACCCTCGAATGCAACTGTAGGTCTTTTTCGAAAAATCGTATTTAAACAAATCCTGGAGCCACACCAGCTTTCCTCTTACGCTTCCGCTACGTGCCGCTACCTAAGAATGTATAACAGCCCAGTGGGTAGCAGAGCCACACTCAAAGACCTGTTGATACAGCCATGACATACCATGATGTTCTGGAGCTGGAAACTGTCGCTAACGTTGCGTGGCTTTGTCCTCCAACGTTGCAATTGATGACGTTTTTCACATCTCTGGTATTTCTTGGTTTCTGATACGACCGGCACAGGGAGTGGAGGTTGCAGAACTTCATGGAATGTCACCGTACGCTTTGGATGAGTACCTTTCGCTGCCTGCTTTGCCGCCCACGTCGCACGCCCAAGCAGGCACAGCACGTGCTGGCAAGTGGTGAGCAACGCTTCGGTTTCTCGCAAGCAAACTTGTTCCCAAATCACTGGACACACAAAGTCCCAACAAGCGCAAAAGCGCGTGGCTCAAAGGTAGCTGGTGCTCAGTCTGCACCAAGTAAGGGAGTTCAGTTCATGTGGAATGAAGAGCCGACGATTTGCGACGATTGCATATGATCGCGTTGCCAGCTTCCTGCCGGGCTTGCGGGACTGCATGTTGATCTTCTGAACACCTGGGCTTTGCTTGAGCCTCAAAAAGTGAAGACAACCATGTGCGAGAAAGCCGAGGCGTGGGGTCATGGGGAAGGCGATGGCCTGGAGAAACTTGCACGAGGCATTCAAACTCCTCACACCTCGTGTGGATAGGTGATATACGACCTTGCTTCAAGCACACCTTGCCTTTCTTCCCATGCACGAGTGTGTTTACGAAGCTGGTCAACGATGTTGAGTTTGCACCCAGCACTTGCACGCACAGCCCTTCTTCCCGCCATGATGCGCAAGTCGAAGCCTTTAAGCTGAATACAAGGATTCGTTTTACATATCTACAGGAGCCGCTTGGCACAGTACAGCTCGCTCTGCCCAACGCACCGGCGCAACGCTGGCGGATCTGAGGCATCGCTCGCTGACGGGGTCAGGCGACTAAAGGCAATCCAGGTTTCTGGGTCACCTCATGCACTTAGTCCACCCACTTCGTGAGGTACGTGCTGCCCTTCAGCGCAGCATCCACCTGAGCCGTGCTCATGGCCGTGTACTTAGAGAGGTTCTTGGGGTTCTCCCACTCGAAGAACTTGATGCCATCCTTGGTGACGGGCTCGCGGCCGAAGTGGCAGTAAGCCGCCGTTTCCTGGTACTTTGGCTCACGCAAAGCCAGGGACTGAGCAATGGCACCAGGCCGGCAGTCGAACTCGATCTTCAGCACCTTGTAGGACCCCAACAACAAGCACAATATAAGTAATCAAAACTTAGGGTAGGGATATCAGCGTTTAATGGAGCCCAATAAGGTGGGGATATCCTTGTAACATGCTTATGCCTATGTGCGTTTTAGAGCGCCTACCTTGGTGATGTCATCAACGGTAAGGCTGCCCTTCTCGCTGCCATAGGTCTCCACAAACAGGGACAACGGCTTTGCCACACCAATTGCATAGGACAGCTGCACCAGGCAGCGGGCGCTCAAGCCACTGTTGACCACGGACTTGGCCATCTGGCGGCATATGTAGGCAGCTGATCGGTCCACCTTGGTGGGGTCCTTGCCGGAGAAGGCACCACCGCCATGGGCTCCCCAGCCTCCATACGTGTCCTCAGCCCACGAATGCCCACGATAATGATGGTCAAGGGTCAGATGTTCACAGCATGTCCCAACACAAAAAAGCAGTAACAAACAGTCACATGTCTGTCTGAAGCAAGCCCCCAAACAGAAACATCTCCAAGAATCAATGATGATCTTCCGGCCAGTCAAGCCTGCATCGCCCTGCGGCCCACCGATGATGAACTTGCCGGAAGGGTTGATGTGCAGGTGTGTGTGGCTGCCATACAAGCTGATGGCCGGCTGTCCGCTTTTGAGCTTGATCGACTGAAGCGTGCGCTTGATTACTTTCTCCTCAATCTCCTTGTTCATCTGCTCCATGCTGGGGGCCACCATCTCCGCACCAGTGTAGCCAGCGCATTCCTGGGTGCGCTTGGCCTTGGATGGTTCCGCATGCTGGGTGGAGATCACCACGGTGTGGATCTTCTTGGGCTCCACGCTGCCATCGGGATGCTGCATATACTCAATCGTCACCTGTGTCTTGCCATCCGGCCGCAACCACCAGCACTCACCGCTCTTGCGCACCTCCGTCAGTGTCTTGCCGAGCCTTGTGGCCATGGAGTGGGTCAAAGGCATGCAATCCGATGTCTCATCGCTGGCATAACCGAACATGATGCCCTGGTCCCCAGCGCCCACGTCCATCTCGTCCTTACCAACGTGTACTCCACCGGCAATGTCCGGGCTCTGCTTATTGATGCGCACCAAGACCTCGCAGGTCTTGTGGCTCAGGCCCTTGCTGTCCACGCTGGACAAATCATCCACGAAGCTGTCGAAGCCGATCTGCGCCACGACTCCACGCACCACCTTGTCGTAGTCAAGCTTCGCTCCAGTGGTGATCTCTCCCGCAACCATGACCATGTTGTCCTTGGTGGCCGTCTCACAGGCCACCTTGCTTTTGGGGTCCACCTTCAAGCAGGCATCGAGGACGGCATCGGAGACCTGGTCGCAGATCTTGTCCGGGTGGCCTCACGTGTCTCAACGGTCAAATGCAAAGACTTTTTCAACTGTGTCGCTGAGCATGGCTTTGCTCAACTACTTAGCCCGTCACCCTCGTTCACCGACTCGGAAGAGAAGAGGAAGGTGCGTGCAGTGCGAGCTTTTTTCTGTGCTGGCTCCGCCATGGCGTCGCGGCAAGTGGACTTGGACTAAGGCACGCAAAACTTGTAAAAGCTGCGGATTAAGCAAAAAAATCCACAACCACCTGGCAAGACACAGGACGCACGAGAGATGCTATCGGAGGGAGAACGCATTTCTGTGCACACTTCGGCGCACCAAATCCCTTGCCCATGGCCTGCAGCAAATGGCAACCCACAGGTAAAACAGGTAGAACCGATTGGCCTGAAAAATAAGCCCACTGAAGCCCCAACAGCTGATGGCAAATGGATGTTATGATATCACCGTAACAAACCTTGTGCTAAGACTGCGTAAGACATAAGACACTGTATGCATACCTACGCCTAACCCCAACTTCGGGGCCCCCCCCCGTTTTACATTATTGCTTGGGGGGTCACCAAGCACAAATAATGTAAAACGGACCCTTCGGACTAGGTTGGCACGATGGACATCTTCGCACAGCAAAGCACATGAACAGAGTTCTTCACTCGGATTTGTTGCTTGCTCGTGGTTTGCGTATAGGTCGAGATTGACAGTGGCAGGAGTATGATGACACCAGTCCAGGGAGTTTTGGAGTACTCGACTGAGGCAATAAAAAAATAACAATGTACGCCGCCCCCCCCCCGTTTTACATTACGCTATCCCTGCCCCGTTCCGGCGTCCCGCTAAAACACTAGTCGAGCCATTGAATGTGTTTAGTCCCAAAACTAATACTGCTGTTGCATGGTCTGTGACGGCAGCATGTTAGCATGTCCGCACTGTCGGGCCCCAGCCCCGTGCATGCTGCCAAGTCTGCGGATTGTAGTGCGGACATATGCGAACATTGACATGCAGATCGCACGGATCGCACGTATCCAGCTCTGATTCCAGACCCCCCCCGTTTTGCATTATTCCCTGGGGAAACCCTAAACCCTCCGAAAGAGCAGGTCCCCCCGTTTTACATTAGTTGGGTGTGGGTATCTGTATGCCATAGTCTTTGGTGACCATGCATCTTGCGAGGCTTGGCACAATGGTTTTGGTCTGAGCGGGTGGGAACCCGCTCCGGAAATGCTCCGGAAGCCGCTCCGAAAACCCGGTTTGGAACCCCCTCCGGAAACCCGCTCCAGATCCTGCTCCGGAACCTGCTCGAGAACCCGCTGCGGAACCTTTCCAGAACCTTCCCCGCAACCGCTCCAGAACCCACCCGCCCCGGTACCACACTGCATAACGGAACCCCGCTCCGGAACGCAGAGCCTGCTGCGGAAAAACTTCGAAGCTGACTTGAAGGTCCTTCGTACGAGCAGCCAGCAGGGCGTCCTAACGATGTTGACGCAGCTAAGATCTTTCTCTTCGTCCACCCAGGGTGGTGTGCAGTACCCGAATGCGGGGCTCTGCGCGAACATGAGCACATGGTTCGGAGCAAAGGCTCCTGCACGGGCTGGTTTCCCACAACTCTGAATGCACAGCATGCGGTGCATCATGCACAAGGTTGCGACTATGTCGTGGAGCGCAAGGAAGTGTCGCTTGGAATACGCAAGCTGCAGTCGCTAAGCGGTTGCTGTGGTCAACCGAAATGAAAATAAGCCTCCCGGTGAAAAGCATGCAGAGATTATGAAACGATACTTAAGTCGACCACATAGCGGCGCCTAAGCATCCTCACCCGCATTGCAAGGGCAACGTTGCCGCGTATAACTCCAAGCTTCGGGTGCTTCCTCATGACACAAATGTGCAAATCACACCTTGCTGCATATCAGCTGGTACAACCAAGACATGCGATGCTTGCGCCTGAGCCTTCTCATTGTGTTTGCAAACGAGCGCCTGTCTGCAGGCCAGCTTCACGCTTGTGCTTCCTCTGGCCCCGCTCCTTGCCGCAGTCTTGAAGACTCTCCTTTAGGAATCTTGACAAATTCCCTCGGGCCGTGCGCTTCTCGCAAACAGTACAGCAAGGATCGGTGCTTTCGTCGAAGGGCCCTATAACACGTGTTTGTGCGGCGATGGGGCTGTCCTGTTATGTAAAAAGCGTTTTTCAATGCGAACTCGGTGTCTCCAATCCCACACTTCCTCGAGATCCAATTTTTCTTCATCACTCTACTGAACCGCATGCGCATGTGCCTTGTGCGAAGCGCACTGCCGCACGCTCGTAAGAGCTGGCACTTCAAAAACCGCGTGTTTCCGCCACAGACGTCGCCTTGGAAGTGGCGTCCAGATAGGTCTAAGCAGAGAATTGCATGAAGTTAGGGATAAACCTCCGCTTGTGAGATTATTGTTCAATTGCGAATCTAGTGCTGCCTGAGTGAGCAACTTGTGCACCGAAACCTTGCAAAAACAGGCTCGAAAGGTGTTGCCGTGTTGCCAGCAGCCTTACCTAAACCAAGAGAATTAAGTGATGGCACGGGCAACGTGCTGCGAGTTTCCTCGTCCCCATGCCCAGAGCAGTAGCACCCGACGAACAGCTGGTGCGAAAAGGTTCGCAGCACTTTCAGCATTGACTCCGGGACCAGCTTCAGTTGCTGGGACCAGCCAGAGAGGAATGCCTAGGAACGACCGTGGGTCACGGTCAGAACTGTGAAACAAGCTGTGCAAAGAACGGGATGTGTGGATGCCACACATCGTGCAACTATGTACGAACGTCAACCGCATCACAACGCATCACATCTCACACGCCTCTGCGGCTTGGCAAACGGTAGCAACAAACTGCACATTGTACAAAATCTGTCTTGCGGTGTTGACTCCAGCACGAGTGCTGAAAAGGGTTCGCAAACACAACGTTGGGTTCACGCCAACTTGAGATCGCCATCTACGTCTGGATACGGCGTGCGCGCTGCATTCAAGCAATGCATGGCTCAAAGTGTCTGGGCCACACGCACAAAATCGGCATGTTGCCGGTCCCATGTTTGAATGACGTGCCGCACGACCATCGTTGAAACAATGACGCCCACATCGAGCTAAGCCCCAAAACCGCGAGGAGACAGGGGACAGGTGCCGGCTGTAAACTATATGGTGTAGATGCGGCCACGGCTGCCATTCAGCATACGCGGCGAGCGACTCCGTAGCACGAAGTGTCGCCGAGTACATTGCATGCGAATGCTGATAAACCACCGTTTTCACATGCCGCAACCAACGTTTAACAACATATGGAGCCGTGCCCGGTCCAATCCCCCAAGAGGCAAGATGAGCTACACCCATACGCATGAGTTCGTGTGCTGCGGCATTGATACAAGAGGATTGCACATTTTTCGCAAAATCAGCTATCCTTCCAGCCAAACATTTGCCGGACAAGCGGATAAGACGGGCCCAAAGACTGGCGAGCCGAAGGAGTCGCGTACATTGAACACCCATCCAACCTAACTCACCCTGAACAGCTGCAGTGGGGGCTCCGCGAGGCCACATGAGCAGTCGTTTACCCCATTGGTACATGCGGACATCCATGCGCCGGAGCTGCGTGTCTGTGTGGATGAATTCCAACCCGAAGCATGCGGAAGAAACCACATAATTTTGAAAAATGCGTTCAGTAAGCGACACGGGTAAATGTTCCGATGAAGTTGCTGTCCAGGAAAGGCATGCGGCAAGTCGGCTTTCACCACGTGTCAGTAACTGGTCAACATGTTTCTTCCACCCTAAATTTTGTTGCAAAGTAACCCCTAGGTAGGTGTAGGTTTGCACCAGCGGCACGTTTTGGCTACCCAGGTGAAAGTGCATCCTGGCACAACGCCGAGGGCTGGGACCGAAACGCATGACGGCAGCCAAACGTGTGCACAAGCTTGAAAGTCAAGCGAAAGCTCCAACCATGTGATGCTGGAGTCTGCATCTGCTTTGTCCCAGTTTGGGTTACGGAACCGCCGCCAATGTGAATGCGCTCTGCTTCAAAATTCCGCGGGTATGTTAGGAAAAGTTCCATGACACAGGCATTTGCTGGGTTCAATCGCACAAAGTCAGGAACAGAGAAATCTTCGTGCACCTGTGTGTGCAGTAGCTCAAGCTCACCCGAACAGCGGTCCAGTTCAGCCTGACCAAGTCTCTTACCCTCAGCTTCGTGTGCACTGAGGATTGTAATGAACATGCGCTGCAAACTACATGCAACGTCGCCTCTAGGGTCGGCATGCGTTACCAACACGAGGCCGCACTGGCGCGTGCGCTCTAAAGGTCTGTCTTCATCAAAATTAGGGTGCAACTTGCGAAAATTGGCACGAAGACTTTCCCATGCCTCACAGCGCCAACAAATGTGCGTAAAAGTCTCGGGTGAGGACTGACAGAAAAGACAACGGCTTGATTTTCATTTTTACATAACCAAATACTGGTCTTTCGCGTGACTGAACTGCACCCACCACTGAGAAGCACTCTCAAGTGTGTGTGATCTCAAAGGCCGTGAGCACAGGTTCGAAACCCTTTCGTTTACCTTTGTGTGAGGTGTTGAGTGCATTTTTCCGAAAGCCGCAACAGCCTGTTGGTGGCCTCGAAGTCAAGAGAAGCAGCGGTCCACAAACCTTGCATATCTTTACTAACAGCCATGTCACGAAGCGCCTGACGGATCACATGTTTTTTGTCGGAGAAGCATTCAGCGCGAAGTCGTGTAAGGGGGTCGTGCGGCCCATTGTGACGGGCCTCGCGGCTCGGGCCAGCTGGTTCAGCGAGCGCCAACACGTGGTCCAATGCGGGCTCGCAATCTGCGGCGCCGCTGGCAACCAGCCACGGGGCTCCCAGGGCGGTGCTGCCGACGACATGCTGCACCGCGCCGACAGCATGCCCCACCACCTGCACGTCCAGGCAGCGGAGGCGGCAGCTCGGAGGGCCGGCGGCGCGCGGAGAGCCCGCACCCGGGTGCGAGTCGGCGTTCCAGCGCCCTCCGACCTCCACAGCAAAAACGAAGAGGCGTTGGCCACCGCAACTCCGGATGCGTTGGGTGTTTCCCCTGATCGTCTGGTCCCTGAAGGAGGTCCAAGCACGAACCATCTCGGCAAGTGAACTTCCAGGGATGTTGCCACTGCCAGCCCAGCTGATGGACAGCTTTCCATAGGACTGTGATATGGCC